GTCTCTGCCTCTTCACCCCATAAAGTGTCAGCATTTGCATCCCCCTGAGTGGGGAAGAGGTGAGCGGGTCTTTTGGTGCTGCACAGTTCCTGGACTGCTCCGCTTCAAAGTTGGGAAGATGGCTGTGTGGTGATAGGGACAGGACAAAGCCCTGGCAGGGGAGATGGTTAGGAGCTGGCTTGGGGGCAACAATGGTCCGATGATCTGACGGTGATCAGACGGGCTTCTGATGGGGGGGGTTTGGGGTGTACGATGGTACAATGGGCTTCTGAGCGGGGTAAGGGGTTGAGTTGGGTGGTCCAAGAAAAATCTTGCACCAGGGCCCTTTGTTCTTAGGTCCGCCACTGGTTTGAGGGCTCTTTGATTCCTTGAGCCCTATCTCACCATAACCTACACGCTTCTGTAAAATCCATGAGCAGACTCTACGTTCCCTTTAAAATCTGCTGGTTAAAAACAATATTTGCTCAGAATGATGAAGATCCCGTCGTAGACTGTTTCCTGTAACTTTATACCCGCGTTATTAGCCTGAGCAGACGGACAGGGCTGCCTGTAGGGGGGCATGGAATGCGATCCCCCGGTCCCCTGTGCCGTAAATGGGGGGTTTGCACGGGGTGAGAGGTTAAGGCGTCGATGTCTCAGCAGGGATTACCGAGGAATCGCTTGGTGCTTGGACTAATCAGCGCTGTCTCTGGCTGTCAGCTCTCATTATCTTCTTGCGTAGCAACCGGTGTCAAATAAAACGTAGGAAATAATCCCCAGGGCCAGTGCAGGCGATGAGATCTTTACCTGCTGTCAGTCTGAGCTGACGCCTTCGGGAGGAGACAGAAAGGTTTGGCAATCCAGGAGGAGAGAAACGGGACTGATAGCCAACACGGCCCCGAGGCAAATGTGTCACGAAGACGAAAATCCGGGCGCGCTTGTCTACATGTCTGAAGTTCAGTGCCTCGCGTGTAGTGTGTAATCATGAACGTAGGGTCTTCTTTTAAAGCATTTTTAGATAAACATGGAAAACAGATTGACGTGACTTATTTTATCATAACCATGCAGTTGCTGCTTCCTGCTTTGCAATGCACTCCCTGTGCAGCTGTTACATTATATTTCAACCCAAAACCTTTTGGATAGAATAAGGGCAAGGGGTAGGCCAACTCTGGCCCTCCAGCTGTGGTCAAACTACAAGTCCCATCATGAAACTGCCTCTGGGAGTCAGGCCCATGGCTGTCAGAGTCTTGCAATGGGATTTGAAGCTGCACCACAGCTGGAGGGATTATTATTATTATTATTGGTATTTATATAGCGCCAACATTTTACGCAGCACTTTACATAGTTGCACATTCACATCAGTCCCTGCCCACAAGGAGCTTACAATCTAAGGTCCCTATCACATGCATACATATTTAACTCAATAACAAAAATATGGACATGCAAGCTTGTCAAAGTAGAGTAGAGCCCAAGGTAGAGGGCCAATGCAGGAGGAGCCAAATAATAACCTACCAGTATGTCTTTGTTGGAGTGTGGGAGGAAACCCAAACAAGCACAGGGAGAACATGCAAACTCTTTGTAGATAGCGACCCTGGCCGGGATTTGAACCGGGGACCCCCAAGGCAGAAGCGCTAACCACTACACCACTGTGCTACCCATAGGCGTTCTACCCCTACCCCTGGAGTAGAGAACGGTTAAAACCCCTTCCAATGTATTTCTTTTTTTGCCATCTATGTCCCATTGGGAAGATTTCACTTCCTGCCCTGTTGACCCAACAGGAAGTAAGGGGAAATCTCTCAAGGAAATGATCTCTTAGGCAGTTGACACCAGAAGAAGGGTTCCTATTGGAAGATTTTCTTTGTTCCTTAGCGGTGATCTTGTTCTGTTTCGGTCCCGGATATTATGGTCACCAAAACAAATACAGAGAATGAATCTCCTTAATAGGGCCAAAGACAGGGGGTCTAACACCTCACCACTTCATCCAAAATTTTAAAAAAGTTGGATAAAGTTGAAGGAGAGCAGCAGAGATTGCAATGGGCCACTAAGAGCTCCTTCTAGTGGCCAATGTAGAGATCTCTTTATTTAACTCAATAACAAAAATATGGACATGCAAGCTTGTCAAAGTAGAGTAGAGCCCAAGGTAGAGAGCACCAAGATTACCTCCAGGCCATACAAAGCCCAATGCACCAGCTTCCTTCAATGGGACTGTCAAACAGGTTTTTAAACCTATGAGTTTGCATGGGTATGCGTCTAAGCGGCATCCACAGACTATGTAGAGCAAGGAGCTGCCTGACTGGATATAAACTGAATAGACCATTTATGCCGGCCTTTATACTACACAGTCACTGGGAAGTCTAAATACCTTTGTATGGAGATTGCGCAATAAGGTCGTAATGCGTAATTCCATCGTAAATCTTCAAAGCTCGTAAGACTTGACTGCGGCAGGCTGACACATACTCTCTAAAATACCGCAGGGCCTCAGACAGATTTTGCTCTTTGTGTCTACACAGATAATTACCTTATCATGCCCTCGGGGAATCTACAGATCGTCAACGCCACCCAGGAAGACGAAGGAACGTACCAATGCGCGGCATACAACCCTGTGACGCAGGAAGTGAAGACGTCCGTCTCCAGCGACCGCCTGCGAGTACGACGTAAGTCAGGGGATCTATTGGGCTGATCGTAGACTCGTGATGGGGCCAGCAGATCTGACTATTTTGTGTGGCAAGAGATGAGCTTGTGTCTACAGGTCGTCTTAGAGCGGGGGGTTGGGGGGAGGGGGCAAACTTGGGCCCTACAGGAAATCCCTCCAAAGTGAGGGAAAGGCAGCACTCCTGGTGGTCAGCAACAGGACTCTCCATTGGAAGATTTCCCACTTAGTCCTGTTCTGTGTGCCCTTAACACTCACTTTAATAATTATAGTGCACTGTTGACATGTACAGTCACAAAATGGTACCCACCTTCCATTATTCACTCTGCAAACCATTTGCAGAGCTTCAGCTGCTCCCTATGTTTCCTCTATGTGTCTTCTTTTGGTGGTCAACTCGACTGATTGTGTTCCTCTTCACTGTTGACATTTCAGGCTCTATATCGGAGGTGGCTCGGATCATCTACCCTCCTGTGGCTCAAACCATCATAGTCACCAAGGGCCAGAGCCTCTTCCTGGAGTGCGTGGCCAGTGGAATGCCGCCGCCAAGAATCACATGGGCCAAGGACGGGTCCGACATCATTGAACAGAACAAGACGCGCTTCCTGCTCAGCAATCTCCTGATAGAGTCTACGAGTGAGGAGGATTCTGGGACATATACCTGTACAGCCAGTAATGGAATGGGAGATGGAGGCTTGGCATTCATCTTCTATAACGTACAGGTTTTTGGTGAGTTATATTAGATTTTCACTGCATTGGAGGCTGTCAAAATTCTCTGATCCATATAGACAAATGACCATTGCATGATGCAGAAGGAGTAACAAAATGGTGGGACATAAAGTGTATGAGGGTTTCATTTGATCACTCCAGTTCAGAGCACCACTTCTGGCCCAGTTCGCCTGCTGGTTCCTACCGTACTAGGTATTTGTTATGAATTATATTTATTCATGTTTAGAGGATATCTATCTTGGGATAGACTCAGGGCCGGATTTTCCACAAGGCCAACCAAGGCCCAGCCTTTGGGCAGCAGGGAGAAGAGGGGCAGCAGGGGTGTGGAATTCCTATCTCCCGATGCCCAGGACATGTTGTTTTCTACATTTAGCCCTGCTTTGGGCAAGCAGAGCTAAATCTACAGCGGGGAAGTTGCCGCTTGTTCTATACAAATGATCTCAGTAATGTCGCCAGCCCTGGATGGACTGCTGGGTATTGTTCTCCAAATTGTTAACATACCACCAATGGTGGAACTTCTATCCTGGTAACCAACTTGGCCCTGTAGCAGACCCCTCAACCTCATGGTCTGGGTACCAGCAGGCAGCTGTTCAATTTTGTGGTCAGGAACCTTTCTTGAGTTTGGGAAAGAATGGCTGTGTGTGTGAAAACACGCCTGCTATGAGTCCTGTCCACCACATTTGTGATTTATTCAACATTTTAGTGAGTTTCAGCTTGTGAAAGACAAGAATTAGGTCCCGTACAATGCTATATCCTATTTTGCCTTGCTTCCATGTCTCTTAAGTCATCCAATCCTGACCCATCATTTTATTTCATCTCTCAGAGCCGCCTGAAGTCAGAATGGAGATGTCCCTGCAGATGGTCTCCTGGGGCCAGACGGCAAAGTTTACCTGTGAGGTGAACGGCAATCCACCTCCATCCGTGGTGTGGCTGCGGAACGCGGTGCCTGTTGTTCCTACCCCGAAACACCGGATCTCCCTGAAGGTTCTTCGGGTCAGCAGCGTGGGGCCAGAGGACGATGGCATTTACCAGTGTATGGCAGAGAATGAAGTAGGAAGTGCTCAAGCTTTGACATTGCTGATGACCACCAAGACAGGTGAGTAGAACATGAATGTTTTTAAATAAGCCCACCATCCCCCTCTGCTTATTTTTCCCCAACCTGCCTAATCCTATACTGATCCCCCCCTCCTCTATTTTGGCTCCAGGAACCCTGGTAAGCCCTGGACTGGATGTGATTACCTGGACTCCAACAGAGGCACCTATCCCCGATGACAAACAACTGCTCCTGAAGGCTCAAATAAAGCCAAGACCACCAACACCAGGATCGCCGACTCCTTGCCCATCTGATAAGACCATCCTCCAGCCGGAGGCTCCCATAATCCTCAGCAGTCCCCGAACATCTAAGACCGATTTCTATGAACTAGTGTGGAAGCCCAGACACAATAGCAAAGCCACAATCCAGTACTACACCGTGAAACACCGCAAGGTACTTATAAGGGAAACTTCAAATCACGGGCTCTTCTTAAGATAACATTTTTAATAGTGTCTTTTTTACTGGCCCCATTCATCTTATGTCATGTGACCCTTTATATAGTTACATGTTTGCCATGTTCTAATTTCATGATCATGGTTCTGCTCCTCTTACTGACTATATCTGTTAGCATCTTTGCTGAAAGACTGAGAAATTAGGCATTTTGAGAAAAACATACAGTCCCTACAGTCACACATGAGGAGGGGCACTGATGTTTTGGGGTTGCTTTGCTGCTACAGGCGCTGGATGTCTTGACTGTGTGCATGGCATTATGAAATCTGAAGACTACCAAAGTTGGGTCTCCGTCAGAGGTCATGGGCAGGGCTGGATTTCCCACAAGGCCTTGGGGCAGCAGGAAGTAGAGGGGGCAGCAGGGGTGTGGAACTGATATCTCCCGATGCCCAGGCGGGTAGTTGTTTTCTACATTTAGCCCTGCTTTGGGCAGGCAGAGCTAAATGTACATCGGGGAAGCCACCGCTTGTTTTTTACAAGTGATCTCTGCAACATTGTATGCAGCCTGCAGGTCTCCCATTCTCCATGAAGGGGTAGGGGGGGGGGAGGGGGTTGGCAGGTAGGGGGGGGCGTTGAGGAACCAGGCCTCGGGCAGCAGAGAGAGTAAATCCGGCCCTGGTCATGGGTCTTACAGCAGGACAATGACCCAAAGCCCCCAGAAGTGGTTTCAGACAAAGCGCTGGAGAGTACTGGACTGGCCCGCAATGAGTCCAGATCTGAATCCCATAGAACATCTGTGGAGAGATCTCAAAACAGCAGGTGGGAAAATTAACCTTCCAATCTGAGAGACCCGGAGCAGTTGGCGAAAGAAGAGTGGTCCAAAATTCCTGTAGAGAGGTGTAGGAAACTCATTGATGGTTACAGGAAGTCATTGATTTCACTAATTTTTTTCCCCTAAGACTGTGATGCCAAATATTCATTGAGGGTGCCAATAAACTTGTCCGGTCCATTTTTAGAGTTTTGCGTGCAATGCGTCAGATTTGGCTTTTTCTTTCTCCACTTTTTTGTGTCACCAATACAAACAAAAGAAATAGACATGAGAATGCTGAAACATTTGTAATTGCAACAAATTTCTGCGAGTGGTGGTGAATTATCTGACAGAAATGCCGGGGGGCCAATATTTTTGGCCATGACTGTATATTTTAATGTGCTTTGCCCATGTAGGCCAGAGAGCAACAGGTTTACTTAACTGCCTCCCATCCCAGCAGCACATACTTACTTTTTCTTTGCTCCCTCATGGCTCCATTTGGCCCAGAAGCTCGGATTAAGTACTAAGTCACAAAACTAAGGTTACACGGGGCTAAGGACTACCTACCCATCCCCATTTGAGTGTTGGATGTCTAAATATCCAATCACCAAGCACCAGCACTGTCACGTAGGAGGAAGCGGGGCAAAGTCACATGCTCTTCCATACTTGGAAGTCCTGGGTATTTCTCTTCAATCCCAGCGACTGAACGGAATGGTGGGGTTGGCCGGTTTCCATGAGATTTTTTCTCCAGAGGATAAATGGAACATAGCCACACATATGTCTGACTTTCCTCTCCTTGGTACAGCAGGTGGGGAACGTGTCTGATGAGTGGACCTTTTACCGAGTTCCTGGCTCTCAAAATCGCCTGACGCTCACCAAGCTGGACCCTGGAAGCTTATATGAAGTGGAGATGGCGGCTTACAACTGCGTCGGAGAAGGACAGACGTCCATGATGACCTTCCGGACAGGTAAGGAGAACTTGCTGGGTTGACCTTGGTGAATGTTGCCACCTCCTGACCAATGGACACTGATACACATTCTTATTGCAGGGCGACGTCCGAAACCCGACATCATAGCCAGCAAAGAGGCGCAGATTCAGAAGGACGACCCGGGGACCAGCACGCAAAGCAGCAACCAGTCCGACAATAACCGCCTGTCCCGTAAGTGCCCCCCCCCCGTTTGGTCCAGGTTCCAGATCTACTGGTCTACAACAGTTCCCTGTATAGATATGTAATCAGTCGTACAAGATGTCTACACTGAAATTTACTTTTTATGTTTTGGATGGAGTGTTGAAGGTTAGAGCCAATGAGAGTGCCAGACCAAAGAACAGAGAGAGTCCAATGCCCTTCATGTTTTTTTGCACCAGGGCCCTGAAGGTTCTAGTGATGCCTCGGTGATGAACATTTAGGGGGGTTATTCACTAAAGAGCAGAAGGATCCAGCCGTAGCTTCGGCTGATCGTTCGGCTCTCTTCGGACGCCTCTGCCCTTCGGTCTGACTGAACCGAAGGGCTGCTGTACGGGCTATTAACAATAGCCCGAACAGCAGCCGAGTCGAAGGCATATGCTTCGGCTCGACTGAGCCGAATTGACAGCCGAAGCATGGAGAAAGGTCGGCTGAAGCCGACCGATCTCCACGCAAATGATGACAAATGACAACAATGCCGTGATCTCATCAAATGACCTGGGGTATGCTTATCTGTCATTAAATAATAACAACTGGGCGGAGCCAGCCGTGGTGTCACAGCAGTTGTTATTCATTGGCCGGGACCTGCTAGAAGACTCTGGCAGGTGTCGGCCAATAGGAAACAGTTGGGGCGGAGCTAGCTGTCGCTGCTAGCTCCGCCCAATAGTTTTTCGTTTAAATTTTTTTTTTTTCTTAGGAAAATTTTATAAAAAGAAAAATATTTTAATTTTTTTTAACGTTTTGAAAATAATTTATTAACTTTTCTTTTTTTTTTCATTCTTTTTATTTTTTATTCTGCTCGCTACCTCGGAGGTACCGAGCAGAATAGCAGAATGCCACATCCAGATGTTGGATCCGCTGAGTCGAAGTCCCTCTGCACTTCGGCTCAGCCGAACATCAGGACACAGGGGCATCACTAGTGTCATCCTACAACAGGAAGTGTCTGAATGGCATTTGGGAGAAGATTGCCCTTTAATGACTTCTTCCCGGGGAAGAGAATTACACAGCGTACACCTTAGTAACTATGGCACGGGTACAATGATGATGTGTGTTGTCTCTACAGCTCCGGAGGCTCCGGACCGACCCACCATCTCTGCAGCCTCTGAGACCTCCGTGTACGTGACCTGGATCCCAAGGGGCAACGGCGGATTTCCCATCCAGTCTTTCCGGGTGGAGTACAAGAAGCTGAAACAGCAGGGCGACTGGATCCTGGTGACCAGGGACGTCCCGCCGTCGCGACTGTCTGTAGAGATCACCGATCTGGAGAAAGGTGAGCAAAGGGCAACCTGGTAGGCCTGAGCAAAAAAGGGTTGCTTGTAGCTGGAGTGAAAGTGAGGGGCCTAATTGAGCTTAGCTTCTCGGGCCTCTCACTGCCGCCTGCCAATGCTAGCCCGCCACACTACGTTGGGGGTCATACTACACTGGTTAGAGAGGAGGCCTTCTACACTGAGTGGCCGGATTATTATGACCACCTGACGTTTGTAGGCTAATTAGCTATAATTTGGCGCTGAGGTTGCTAGAGGGCCAGACCATTATAAATAGGGAAGCAGGTTGGTTACCACGACAGTAGAAGTGATTTGTTTCTGAAGATACAGGGAAACAACGCGATTTAACAGCCTTTGAACGCGGGATGATTGTTGGCGCTCGGAGCCATTGAGCGAGTATCAGCATTTTACTACTTGGATTTGAAGTGTCACCATCCACCATCACTCCAGCACCCACCTTTAAAAAGGGACATGCCAGTAAGGAGTGTGGTGGGGACCTTTTTGGAACTTCTACATTTTTGGCGCCCAATGTGGGTCCTGACGAGATATGTGCCGGGGGTCACCTATAGTAACTGGCAGCAGATGTTCAGAAATTTGGTTTTGGCAACATGGGGACTGTGTGTCTTAAAGGAGAACTATGGGGTTATGGCTTTTCCCCATAGTTCTCCTTAGGGTAACGGAAGGACACAAACTAGCGCCCTCCCGTGACCCTATGCTCGGTATACCGCGAGCTACAGCTCGCGGTATACTGAGACGCCGTAGCTGAAATAGATCCCGACAATTATGCCTGGCTATGACAGCTGGCTCTGCCTATCTGGGCAGAGCCAGCTGTACCCGCCCCCTCCCCAGTCCGTTCCACCAGTCAGCGCTGGAGGATCAGAGCGGGGAGGGGGGAATCCAGTCCCTCCCCTGTCACGGCTCTGTGCCGTGACAGGATCGAGAAGTGAGTGACGGTATGTGTTCGCTCACCTCCCGATCTACTGAGCCGACCTGTGACAGTCTCATTGTCACAGGTCGGCTAGAACTATGAGGATGAGTGATAATCACTCACCTCATAGTTCTCCTTTAAGAGGCTAAGAAGGCCATTGTAATGCGCTCGTGTGGGGAAGGGCATTTTTGGGAGTGTGGAGAGTTGCTTGTAGGGTGGCCACCTTTTCCTCAAGTGAAACCTCGAACGCTGTAGCGTCGCGCAGACATTTTTTTGGGGAGAATGAGTCGCGGCTTATTCATATGTAAATAGTGCCTCCCATTCATATGTAAATATCACAGTTGAGACCATTGTCAGTGGGGGGCCAGTAGCCCCTATCTTAATTTTGGTTGCCCCTGTCTGCCTGACATGTGTCCGGGTTTCTGCTGCTATGAAACCCGGACACAGAATTCTAAACCCGGACTGTCTGGGTGAATCATGGACAGGTGGCAACCCTAGTTGCTTGCCAGCTGTTGACACTTTGTGTGTATGCTGTGGGCTTACATTGGAGGCTACAGGCAGGGAAGTGAGGCTGCTGGATTCCGGAGGGCAAATTTGTTCCTTCTCCATTAAAAAAAAAAGAAAGACCTGCAATCTCAAAAAAAAATCACCTTAAAACAACTTGCTCATCATGTCATTTTCTTATGCAGGGATGTCGTACAAGTTCCGGGTTAGGGCAATGAACATCCTGGGGGAGAGTCAGCCAAGCGCAGCTTCTAAACCCTATATGGTATCTGGATACACCAACCGCATCAACGATCGTCCGGTCACGGGACCCTACATCACCTTCACCGAGGCCATCAACGAGACCACCATAATGCTGAAATGGATGGTGAGCTTGAGATCCCATGCTGTGTTATATGATGATAGTAGTCTTTTTAAAGAGGCTTCTGCCTATGGACATCTGGAGACCGGAAGCTGCATCCATGTGGGATGTAAAAAGTAGTGCGCGTTGTTGTAGTGACCACTAGTGGCACCGGGCTATAATTACATGCTCTAATGTCCATAGATAGCATGCAGTTGCTGAATGTCACGTTTAAAGTGGATCTAAGAATATTTTCCAGTTAAATGCATGCTTAGTACTTTCGGGAATTGATGACTTGTCACAGAGATCACGGGCCCCACAACAGTGCCATCTTTATTTAGGTACTAGCCAGGGTAAGCATCTACTTCCTAAAAAGTACACTCAAACTCCATGCAGATGGTGCCCCTGGTGGCTCTAGTGCTCCTTAAGGGGAGGGCAGGGGCAATATGGGAGGAAGAGCAGGGGCAATATGGGAGGTAGTACAGGTGCAATATGGGAGGAAGTGCAGGGGCAATATAAGAGGAAGTACCGGGGCAATATTTGAGGTAGAGCAGGAGCGATATGGGAGGTAGTACAGGGGTGATATGGGAGGAAGTGCAGGGGCAATAAAAGAGGAAGTGCAGGGGCAATATGGGAGGTAGAGCAGGAGCGATATGGGAGGTAGTACAGGGGTGATATGGGAGGTAGTACAAGGGTGATATGGGAGGTAGTACAAGGGTTATATGGGAGGTAGTACAAGGGTGATATGGGAGGTAGTACAAGGGTGATATGGGAGGTAGTACAGGGGTGATATGGGAGGTAGTACAGGGGTGATATGGGAGGTAGTACAGGGGTGATATGGGAGGTAGTGCAGGGGCGATATGGGAGGTAGTGCAGGGGCGATGTAGGAGGTAGTGAAGGAGTAATGTAGGAGGTAGTGAAGGGGTGATGTAGGAGGTAGTACAGGGGCTATATTGGAGGTAGTAAAGGGGCGATATGGAAGGTAGTGCAGAGGCGATGTAGGAGGTAGTGCGGGGGGCTATATTGGAGGTAGTGCGGGGGGCTATATTGGAGGTAGTACAGGGGTGATATGGGAGGAAGTGCAGGGGCAATAAAAGAGGAAGTGCAGGGGCAATATGGGAGGTAGAGCAGGAGCGATATGGGAGGTAGTACAGGGGTGATATGGGAGGTAGTACAAGGGTGATATGGGAGGTAGTACAAGGGTTATATGGGAGGTAGTACAAGGGTGATATGGGAGGTAGTGCAGGTGTGATATGGGAGGTAGTGCAGGTGTGATATGGGAGGTAGTACAGGGGCGATGTAGGAGGTAGTGCAGGGGTGATATGGGAGGTAGTGCAGGGGTGATGTAGGAGGTAGTGCAGGGGTGATATGGGAGGTAGTGCAGGGGCTGTATTGGAGGAAGTACAGAGGCGATGTAGGAGGTAGTACAGGGGCTATATTGGAGGTAGTGTGGGGGCTATATTGGAGGTAGTGCAGGTGTGATATGAGAGGTAGTACAAGGGCGATGTAGGAGGTAGTGCGGGGGCTATATTGGAGGTAGTACAGGGGCAATATGGGGGGTAGTACAGGGGCAATATGGGGGGTAGTGCAGGTGTGATATGAGAGGTAGTACAAGGGCGATGTAGGAGGTAGTGCAGGGGCTATATTGGAGGTAGTACAGGGGCAATATGGGGGGTAGTACAGGGGCAATATGGGGGGTAGTGCAGGTGTGATATGAGAGGTAGTGCGGGTGTGATATGAGAGGTAGTACAAGGGCGATGTAGGAGGTAGTGCAGGGGCTATATTGGAGGTAGTACAGGGGCAATATGGAGGGTAGTACAGGGGCTATATTGGAGGTAGTGCAGGTGTGATATGAGAGGTAGTGCAGGACGATAAAAGACCTAAAGAAAGATTTGATTCTTTTACAGTACGTTCCATCGAGTAACAACAACACTCCCATTCACGGCTTCTACATCTACTACCGACCAACCGATAGCGACAACGACAGCGATTATAAGAAGGACGTGGTGGAAGGTGAGTGGTGACCCCACCTCTACTGTAATAGGAGGGTTCTCCAATATTGTCTAGCTTATATAAGGCAGTTAAAGGGTCAGTCCACCCAAAAGTGATATTTTAGAGATGAAAACTCATCTGCTGGCTTTTGGTATGGGAGTAATGGGTGTTCCCTCTCCGTTTGGGATGTGAGGTTCCCGGGTCCCCTTGGCAGGTGGCCATGTGGCCAGCTGTGTTATACGTTGACAGTTGAGTTATCCCTTCGTCCTCCAGGGGACCGCTATTGGCACTCCATTGCTTGCTGGTTTTGGGTATGGGAGTCATGGGTGTTCCCAATCAATTTTGGGCGTCCACACTTCCAAAGTTCCCGGGTCCCCTTAGCAGGTGGTCATGTGTCCAGTTGTGTTATACATTGACACTTGAGTTATCCCTTCGTCCTCCAGGGGACCGCTATTGGCACTCCATCAGTCACCTGCAGCCGGAGACGTCATATGATATCAAGATGCGGTGTTACAACGAGGGAGGGGAGAGCGAATTCAGCAACGTCATGATCTGCGAGACCAAAGGTGAGCCCGGCTCTGCCCAACCTGTGAAATGACCTTTGACCCCGACACGTTTCTGTATTTTAAATATGTGTCCCTCTCCGATCTCCCACCACAGCTCGCAAGTCGTCCTCTCAGCCGGGCCGGCCTCCGCAGTCCGTGGTGCTGACAGCCCCGCCTCCCCCGAGCAGGGGCGGGGCCCTGGGTACGGCCACCGTCGCCCGATCCAGCGACCTTCCTTACCTGATCGTTGGCGTGGTCCTGGGTTCCATCGTCCTTCTCATTGTGGCGTTCACCCCCATCTGCCTGTGGAGGGCGCTGTCCAAGCAGAGTAAGTCTTCCTTTGCTTCCTCTGATGTCACTGCACACTGTCAGCTTCTCACAATGTGGATCAGAAGCTGCAGCAAGTCACATAGAGCCCGCCTCATTTCCTGGCTGGAGGACATCCAGCATCATCTAGCCTTTCCCTCCCCAGCCTGACTGTCCCTGGCTCCGCCCCTTTCATTCATTGTATTTTAGTCAGCTTAGCTCTTTTTCTTCGATCTGACGCTCTTTATTTCTGATTTCTTGCAGAGCAAACCACCGACATCACATTTCCAAGTTCCGGCATCCTGAACTCCTCTTGCCAGTACACCATGGTCCCGTTAAGGGGGACCCCCGCCGTCAGCACCATCCCGCATTCCAACGGGGCATTCGAGAACGGAGCGTGTCCACCCGCCAAGCTGATTTATTCTGGAGGAAAGCAGAGGGACTATTGCTCCAAGGTACGGCTCCTTTCCTTCCAGCAGGGGGGGGCGATAGTTCAACTACCCGAAATCTGGACCCACCTTAAAGTGGACCTGAGGAAAACACACTGACACCAGAATACACACAAACTCCATGCAGACAGTGTCCCTATAACATGATACTGTTGCTTTATATTGTGGCAGCCCAGGAATGCATGGATGCAGATTGTCCGGTTACTGGCAGGTCCTCTTTAAAGGTCAATGGTCATCGTTGGGGATAATGAGATATGTGATCTTGGCTCGGTACAATAAGAACGTCCTGCGGGTTGTACAAATATTATACTGAATTCTTCTTGTGTTTGGACACAGGAGGAGGCCAGCACACTGCTCTCAGGAAGCGAAGCCGGACCTACAGAACCAAGAGACCATCCACAGCCGTCAGGGTAAGCTTCCCTGTTCTTCTCTGTGATTTATAGGGGTGTAAGGTGAATCAGAGCCGCCCAATCACATAGCTTCCTGAACACATCATAGCTCCACCCTGCCTAGCCTCAGCCCTGGTGCAATCAGTGGGCGGGCCCTTAGGAGGTGTTATGCAATTATCAAAATGGCTTGATGGGTGGGTGTTCCTAGTAAGGCTGTATATGCATGCATGCAGTGGGCTGGCTCATGGGAGGAGTTATGCAAATATCAAAATGCCTCGATAGGTGTCAGTCTGGAGGAGTGGGTGTTCCTAGTAAGGCTGTATATGCATGCATGCAGTGGGCTGGCTCATGGGAGGAGTTATGCAAATATCAAAATGCCTTGATGGGTGTCAGTCTGGAGGAGTGGGCGTTCCTAGTAAGGCTGTATATGCATGCTCATGGGAGGAGTTATGCAAATATCAAAATGGCTTGAGGGGTGGGTGCCAGTCTGGAGGAGTGGGCATTCTTAAGCAGGCTGTATTTGCATGAAGCCCACCCTAGGTAACGCCCACATGTGACGCTGAGCCTCCATGATTGGAAGCACTGAAATCCAATGAATGAAAGGGAAGGGCCAGGCTGGGGAGGAAAGAGCTAGATGATGCTATTTTTTCCCCTCCTGTGTAATGTTTCTTCCTGTGTATTGCAGGCTGTGTCGGGCTCAGTCTTGTGAGATGAACGTATTGTACGAGGACGAGACAACCCATCCCCACGTTGAGGTCTCCCACCCCGAGGATGGCACTTCTGTCCAAGATGGGAGCCAATTCCCCATTCTCGACGTGCCCACTGAGAAGCTGCTGAGTCAAGGTGAGACACGGGGGAGGGGATTTTTGGCCAATGTTCATTCATTGAAAGTTTATATAAAAAGATACATTGTATCCAGCGATTGTTTAATATGTTACCAGGAGCCATGACGCTCAGTTTGCAGAGCACGCTGGGTCTTCCGAGCGCAGTGCTGCCTGTGCTTCATTCAATGAGCCAGACGGTTCCATCGCTGCTGAAGGGGGAGGGCGCCACTCATATCTAACAACCAACGCTAGACAAAATTAGTGAGGGGGATGGTCAGAGCCCCCGTGTCCTTGTCTGTCTCCTTATTGGTCAGGACAGAATATGACGGGAAATCAGGACGCAGTTGAGCTGGGGAAGGTTTACAACTCCTGACAGAAAGGTCTGTGCCTTTCACTGGGGAGTGCAGAACTCAAACCCCCTAGATTACGGAGGTGAGGAGAATGGGAGGTGCTTTGTAGTCTTATCCTAGAGTGACAACGCTGCTCCTCCATAGGTACAGCATGGTGAGTTAGCGTTGTCACCCTGGGAGCATTGTCAGCCCTGGTTCCTCCCTCATCAACTTGTGAATTAATTTTTTTTAAAATAAAACCTTTCTTTTTTTTATTGCATAAATTATATTATACCCAGTGATGTCATCACTGAGTTTCTGTACTTCTCTATGCAATGCAGGACGATCATGGCTGGTGGGAGGGGCCAGCAGGGTGCTGTGCATAGCTTCCTGAAAACAGCACCTTGCCTCAGTACTCCTCTCAAGAGCCCTCAGCCCTGATGCACATCTGCATTCCCTCATCCTCTGCATCCGCTCAAGAGCCCTCAGCCCTGATGCAAGTAGTGGGCTTGCTCTTGGGAGGAGTTATGCAAATGTAAAAAAAATGTCCTGATGGGTGGTTGTCAGTCTGGAGGAGTGGGTGGTCTTAGGCAGGCTGTATGTGCATGCATGCAGTGGGTGGGGTCTTGGGAGGAGATATGCAAATGTAAACATGCTTTGACAGGTAGATGTCAGTCTGGAGGAGTGGGCGTTCCTAGGCAGGCTGTATCTGCATGCAGTGGGCGGGGTCTTGGGAGGAGTTATGCAAATATCAAAATGCCTTGACAGATGGGTGTCAGTCTGGAGGAGTGGGCGTTCCTAGGTACAATATATTTGCATAGGTAATGCCCACATGTGGTGCTGAGCCTCCATGATTGAAAGAAATGAAACCCAATGAATGAAAGGGGCGGGCCAGGGACAGCCAGTCTAGGTAGGAAAGTGCTAAGCGATGCTGGACATCCTCCATCCAGGAAATGGGGCGGGCTCTATCTGACTTCTAATGCACATTGAGGGGAAGGCCGGCGTTGGGTTCTATAGGGAGCTCATGGGGAGGGGAGATGATGGGAAGACTCTCTAACCAGATCTTTCTCCCCGCAGGATCTTCATGTCATCTCCATCCAGTGGACTCCAATGACAACACAGACTGTCCCATTTCTCTGGTGGACCCCCAGCTCCACCAAGACTCCTCGCAGAGCGGAGACACGGACACGTGTCCTTGTCAGCACCCCAGACCGGCAACCTAATGGACTAAAGACTGAATATAAAGGACTAAAGACTGAATATAAAGGACTTTATATGGGGAGACTGTGCTGCAGGATACAATGTACCAATATGATTGGCTGCTGCAGAGACCCCTGTACCTGTATGCAGGAAGCAAGCCCTGTGATTGGCTGCTGCAGAGACCCCCTATGCCTGTACGCAGAATGCAAGCCTTGTGATTGGCTGCTGCAGAGACCCATGTGCCTGTACGCAGAATGCAAGCCCTGTGATTGGCTGCTGCAGAGACCCCTATGCCTGTACGCAGAATGCAAGCCTTGTGATTGGCTGCTGCAGAGACCCATGTGCCTGTACGCAGAATGCAAGCCCTGTGATTGGCTGCTGCAGCTGCCTGTACGCAGAATGCAAGCCTTGTGATTGGCTGCTGCAGAGACCCATGTGCCTGTACGCAGAATGCAAGCCCTGTGATTGGCTGCTGCAGCGACCCCTGTGCCTGTACGCAGAATGCAAGCCTTGTGATTGGCTGCTGCAGAGACCCATGTGCCTGTACGCAGAATGCAAGCCTTGTGATTGGCTGCTGCAGAGACCCATGTGCCTGTACGCAGAATGCAAGCCCTGTGATTGGCTGCTGCAGCGACCCCTGTGCCTGTACGCAGAATGCAAGCCTTGTGATTGGCTGCTGCAGAGACCCATGTGCCTGTACGCAGAATGCAAGCCTTGTGATTGGCTGCGGCAGGGACCCCTTTGCCTGTACGCAGGATGCAAGCCCTGTGATTGGCTGCTGCAGAGACCCGCATGAAAAGAGACACCCATGAGTAAAACACAAATCTCTGGCCGCATTAACCCTTCCCGTTCCCCTGCTCTCCCCCCCAGCAGTATTCTGTCTGCAGCACTTTCCGCCCCGTTGCTTTTTGTTGTTTTTGAAGAGAAAGAAATGTTTATTTTTCTACAATAGATCTATTTATATATTTATACACTTTGTACATAGTATTTTTTTCTTTATCAAGAATTTTCTCTTCTATTGCCTGCTACATTCCCGACGACCTCCGACCTCGCCGCCACCACGACCGCTCCAAGTCCGATGTACATACGCACCATGTATGCGCCTCCCACGCAGTATGAGACATTAGCCACTTCCAGTATCATTGTAACAAAAAGGAAATAAAACGTCATTAAAGAAAATTACTTTCCTGGTTCTATTTATTGTTCTGCAGACGTGACATATGACGAGTACGACGTACTTCCTGCGAGGGGTTCATATAAAGTGGACCTGTCTGTGAGTCACCTGACAGGTCGCCGTATACAGTAGCAGAATGATTCTTCAGAAAAGATTCAAATGTTATCATGAATCCCAATCCAGGGACTGTGCCTAGGCCGAGATGATGTCATCAGTCTGCTGCAAGCAGGAGGAAGCTTATCCTCAGTCTCCCCTCCCCCAGTGATCAGGCTGCAACATTGTAACTTTGTAGTCACAAGGTGAAAGGCTGCAGCAGGGGCTGATCGGTGTCAGACATTTGTGAACACAACCAAGAACTGCACAGACACCGGGATTTACATGATTGTGTCATCTCTGAGGTCAGACAACCCCTCATAATGGGCACAGCGGGTGTACAGACCCTGGAACTCAGCACAGGGATGGTGGGAGCTCCTCATAATGGGCACAGCGGGTGTACAGACCCTGGAACTCAGCACAGGGATGGTGGGAGCTCCTCATAATGGGCACAGCGGGTGTACAGACCCGGGAACTCAGCACAGGGATGGTGGGAGCTCCTCATAATGGGCACAGCGGGTGTACAGACCCGGGAACTCAGCACAGGGATGGTGGGAGCCCCTCATAATGGGCACAGCAGGAGTACAGACCCGTGAACTCAGCACAGGGATGGTGGGAGCTCCTCATAATGGGCACAGCGGGTGTACAGACCCGGGAACTCAGCACAGGGATGGTGGGAGCCCCTCATAATGGGCACAGCGGGTGTACAGACCCGGGAACTCAGCACAGGGATGGTGGGGGCCCCTCATAATGGGCACAGCGGGAGTACAGACCCGGGAACTCAGCACAGGGATGGTGGGAGCTCCTCATAATGGGCACAGCGGGTGTACAGACCCGGGAACTCAGCACAGGGATGGTGGGAGCCCCTCATAATGGGCACAGCAGGTGTACAGACCCGGGAACTCAGCACAGGGATGGTGGGAAACTGCCATTCTGCTCCCTGACAGCGAGGTGTGAGGTTGCTGGTTCCTTAGCTCGTGAGCTTCCAGAGACCGGGGGCTAGAGTTGCTTCTCTGCCCCCAGGAGAGATGCTGGATCCTGGGGAGGACCCCGGCGGGGGCTCCCTGGAGAGGCCTGTGACTAGGCCTCAGCTTGTGGAAGATTCTGGGCCTGTCCCAAGGAGGAATGAGTCCCTGTCTGCTTTTAGACGGAGGA